AGAGAACTTTCAAACACAAGACTTCAAACAAGGCCACATTTGGGGGAAAAGAATGATCCATGGAGATACGTTACAGTACTTTAAAGCAGTTTATAAAACAAGTCTCCCCAAAATTTATTTTTCAGTCAAGTTTCTGGCTATAGTTGGGTTAGTATAAGCAACAAAATGAAAGAAACCTCCCAAACATTGTCATTGGCACTCCAAAAATAATAAAGAGAAGTATTAAAGCATTTCCAGTATGTTTTCTTTCTGAAAATGTGTTGATATATTCTAAGAATCTAGAGAATTACTAGTTGGTCTCCTCCTCCTCCTCCTCCTCCTCCTCCTCCTCCTCCTCCTCCTCCTCCTCCTCCTCCTTCTTCTTCTTCCTCTTCCTCTTCCTCTTCCTCTTCTTCTTTTAGGAGCTAAAAATTCTTAGATTCAGACAATCAGGTTCACATAAATAAAAAACTTTTTTTTTCTTAAAAACTGAACATTAAGAATAGTATCACACAGGCCTGGCAGAAGGAAAACCTTTATTCAGTTTTCAGAGTGATCTGGAGTATCCCTGCTGAATTGAGATGATTGGTTTCTCCTCCCCTATCCCCTCTCTCAACCCCCCAGGACACACACATTCATGGGCATGCGACCCCCAGGCACCTGCTGAACCAGAAAGCATCAGAAGAAAGTAAGAATGGATAGAGTGCCGTTTCCAAACCAGTGGCTCTCAAACCCAAGTGGGTACAGCTAGGTGCAAAAATACAAAATGTGTGTTAGAAATAAAAGAAAATTAAATACACTTAAAAGGAAACCCTAACTCAGTTCCTGAAATACAGAAATCCTTTCTAGACCAGAAGAATTTATGGTTCTGATTAACCTCTGAACTAGGGACAAGGGGACATACAGCCTGTCATAAACTGGTCGCATAGGTACTTATAAAGATTTATTGGGTGAGAACTAGAAAACAAAAGATAAAGAGTCATTCCATATCCTTCTCTAGCCAATTGCCTTTGGGAAGTGGAACTGATCTTTTGGTATGGGGGAGACAGTGGGGTCCCAAGGCAGGGCCCTGACAGGCTCACTCCCTTCCCCTACCACCAAGGTATTGGCTTCATCTGCTGCTTAATCCAGAAATCGTTTCTGGAAAACTCTGAGACAAGGGGCTGCATCCTCAACTTCCATTCTGCACAAAAGAAGGCAACTATGGAACCTAACCAGGGTGTTTCTGAGCCCTGTAGAAAGAAGAGCTGCCTCCTTGAAACTTTTGGCCCAGAGTTCCAAAGGAGCACTCATTTCTGGTACTGAACAGAGTGTGCGCATGCACATGGACATGGAGAAGGGCAGGCCAGGCACGGCCAGGGGAGTGAGCGTGGGCACTCCACTCAAGGTCCTCCGTGTCTTCTGCTCTGGGACACCAGCAAGGCTCTTCCTTCCTGCTCCCTTGTCCACCTGGTGGGGAAACCCAGGCTCCACATCCCCTGAGGCGGGTTCTCTGGGGAGCTCCAGGTCTATTTGGCACTAGCTAGGCACCAGCCAGCAATGGCAGAAGAGTTGGACTTTGTCACAATTTCCATCTTTAACTCCAACAAACACTTTACACTGAACTGCAAGGAGACACCTTCTCAAAGACTCAGCCTGAGACAAGTCAAGGAGCCCAGATGGGGTCAGGGCACTGTCCGCTCCCATAGTCTTTCTCGAAGCAGCCACTGCCCTTTGGGATTCTCTGTCTCATAGTAGTCCTCCCCTGGAGACGCCATGGGCTCCGGTGCAAAGAGCTCCGTATCCCATCCTGTATCTTCTCCTGAGAAGTTGAAGAGGATCTGTCTGGAGCTCCCCAGGCTAGAAGGGAGGAATGAGGCACAGGGTTTAAGTTCAGCTTGGCCAGCCGCACAGAGGGAAGGGATGCCTGGATTACCACCATTCCTAAGGAGACCATCAGATGGCTCCCCCCATCCTGGGCTCTGGGGAGGAGCCAGTAGTGTCATCATGGGAACTTTGGATGGATCTCAGGTGGGCCTTGGCCTGGCCTTAAGGAAGGACAGGTGATGAGGACTGGGTCATGGTTTCACTATGTCTTGTACATGGTTTATTATTATGAGAGGAAAATGCTACCTAGGAAGCCCTGATTCCATCAGAATTGGGTGACTTCTGTAGAAGCAAAGGAAACCACTGGATGAGTCTCTATAGGCCCTTCTGTTGGACAGGCAGGCCCCACAGCAAGGCCTGGGTTGGCCAGACCAAGACTTAGGAGCACAAGACTCACACCTGCACGAACAGGCACCAGGAGTGTGGGGCTAGTGATGGTGACTGTCCCTGGGACAGGAGGATATGGAGGAGAGACATGGGAGGTGGTGGTAAGATGGCCCTTCAGGATAGAACCGGGAGAGTCTGGGGTTGAACTCTTTTTTCTAACCAACAAATTCTCAGTTCCAGAGAGGATTGCAAGGAGCAATAGCACCTTCTTCAAACACCTCTAGTAATAATCTGTTAAAAATATAGTTTATATGTTTTCTCCATGGAAATAACACAAGTGTAGACTGCAAAGGTATCTCTGAGCCAGGAATGAGCACAGCTAACTAGCAATTGAAGTCAAGAGAAATAAGGAAAAGTTATAATTGGTTTGCCCAAGATGGCCATTGCCCACAGAGATACCATAAGATGTCTCTGACTGTGGACTTCTTACTGCATTCAACCCCAAACCCTCATTAAAAATCTGTAGCGCACAATGTGTCAATGGCACTTGGGAACAATAATGAAAGAAGATGGCCCAAAACATGAGGGTTAAATGAGCCAGAGAGAAAGGGAGGGAGATTCAGAGCTGAAGCTCTATCCAAGGAGAAGACAATGGTGGACCATGCTATAATAGACACTATCAAAAAATCTTTAGAAATCCTGCCCCCCCCCCCCGCCCAATACAATATACAGGAATAATTTTGGCACGTAGGATGGGCACTCCACACACCTTAAGAACCACCCAAGGGTCTGGAGGACACAGAAGCGTCTTAGTTCCAGTACTTAGCCCAAGCACTTACTCTTTTTTGTGGGCTTTGGGCTTAAATTTCAGGGTGTTGAATGCCCCTTCCACAGCCTTGGGCAAGTAAATGGGGTGCCTCTCCAGTCTCCTCTGGGTGCCAATGGTCCTGCGCTCCATGCTCCTTCGAAACTGGCTGTCTGAGGTGTGGCCAGCTTGTCCAGCAATGTCCTCAGAATGTCTGCGCGGGGCCCGCAGGATCCAGTTGGAATGCAAGCTGTGCTCCCGGGAGCTGGTGGCCACTGGAAGAGAGAAGAGGGTGACCTGGAAGGGAGGGCTGGGCGTCAAGAGGGGAAGAAGGCAAAGGAGAGGGTGGACGGGGCTAAGAGCTCACTGGGAATGGGTAGAGACAGTGGATCCTTAGAAAGGCCCCGGTGGCCAAGCAAGGAGGACTGCCTCTTTGGGTAGGGCACAGGGTGCTGAATATTCACTCCATCAAACACAGAGACAGAGGTCTGTATTATTGCTCAAAGTGTAATGTACACTGTTAAATGAAAGAAGATACTATTTTTGTTAATAAAATAAACTGGTGTGTGTGTGTGTGTGTGTGTGTGTGTGTGTGAAAGGTCATGTGCCCCATGTGGGTTGTCGCTGGATGGTTTGAGGTCATACATTTTTTTATCTTCTTTATGTTTTAGCATGTTGTTTGATTAACTGGAGTTACAATTGACATAGATGGTTATTTTTATCAGGACAAAACAGTCATTTTGTGACAAAAAACATTTTCATTAAAAGATTGTAATTGTGAAGATGACACTTGCACCCTCAGTGGACTCTGTCGTCCTTCCACAGATGTTCTGCATTTCCCAGGTCCCCACTCCTGGGTGAGGGCTTCTGTTTGCTGGGGGTTGTGGGGCTGCATCCATGTGGAAGGTGAGCAAATTGCCCACAGGGTAGGATGAGCTCAGGAAATAGGGAACATGTCACAGGACCAATTTGAAAACCCAAATCTCACAGATGCACATCTATTGAGACCAGAGCAACCACAAACCACAAGCATGTCTTCCTTTGGCCATTAGTTTAAACCCCCAAGATTATTTAATATCAGGACCAGAAGCTGTTGCTAAGTATCTAGGTAAGAGTGGGGGTAAGGGCAAGTCAAAGTTTAAAGAAATGGACAGTTTGGGAATGTAAAAGTAGGCTCAACTCCTCAACCTGTTAGAATTCTTTGCTCTCCCCAGTGATCCACCATGGTGAGGAGGGAGGTGAAGCCTACCGCTTCCCCTTCCTTCGCCCCAGGGACTGGCTGGGCCTGGGCAGGCTCCTGGGCCTCTCCTGCTCCATGCAACAACACCCACCACCTAGCTTAGGTAGGGTCAGAGGCCAGGTTTTCAAATATAGTTTATCCATGCCCTTTCTCTTTTCAAAATTGTGGTGACATGTAGGTAACATCAAACCATCTTCACCATATTTAAATGTGCCATTGGGGTAGTGTTAAATACACTCCCATAAGCAATCTCCAGAACTTTTTCATGTCACTAAACAGGAACTCTCTACACACCCTTCCCCCATTAGTTCTGCTCCTTGTCACTTTTCTTCTCTTAGGAAAGCTTGACCCTGTCTCAGCTCCGTGGGCCACAGGGCCTCAGAGTGCTGGCTGGAGGCTGGGGTGGTTGCAGCAGGGACAGCCAGGTCCCCAGAGATAACAAGCTCAGGAGCTGGCAGGGAGAGGGGTTCCCTTTAATCAGAAGGGGGGACCCCATTGCTTATCCCAGAATCCCACTCACATCCCCACGCACTTTCAGCCACTGGGTTAAGGTCCCTTCCCCAGCACGCACCATCAAAATCCACGTCTTCATTCAGCAGGTCAGCCTCGGCCACCCGGGGTCCCCTCTCTGTATCCAGCTCTGCAATGATGGAGTCGAAGAAGGCGATGGCCTCGGCCACATCGGCACTGAACTGCGAGTATTTCTTTGAAGCTACTTTCTGCAGGAGACAAGAGGGGAGGAGGGCTGGCTGAACCAGGTTCTGAGGACCCACAGGCACGTAAGCCAGAGACACTGGAAAGGAGTAACTGTTGCTGAAACTTCATGAATATGGAGTCAAGAATTTATGAGGTTTCGAAGGTAAGCTTGAAAGCCAAGATATGAAGTGAACCATAGTGTCTATCATGAGTGAGTGAATTAAGAAAATGTGGTATATATATTTGCACTCGAATATTATTCAGCCATAAAAAATAATGAAATCCTGCCATTTGCTGCAAATTGGAGGACATTACATAAAGTAAAATAAACCAGGCACAGAAAGAAAAACACCACATGTCCTTATTCACATGTGGAAGCTAAAAAGTTTGATCTCATGTAAGTAGAAAGAGTAGTGGTCACTTAGAGGAAGGGGAGAGGGGAGTGGAGATTGAAGGATGATGAGTTGGAGACAAAGAATCACAAAATACGGTAGATAGGAGGAATAAACTCTACTGTTCATAGCACAGTGGGGTCAATATAGTTCACAACAATTTATTATGTATTTTAGATGGACACAGTACCCTTATTTTGTTTCTTTAGTTTTCTGTGTGTGTGATGCTGAGGTCAAACCTAGTGCCTCATGCATGCTAGGTGAGTGCTCTACCACTGAGCCACAACCACAGCCTTACTATTTGTTGTTGTTGTTTTACTTTTATTTTGTTTTATTTATTTATTTATTTATTTATTTATTTATGTGGTGCTGAGGATCAAACCCAGGGCCTCACGTGTGCAAGGCAAGTGCTCTACCGCTAAGCCACAACCCCAGCCCCATTATTATTATGATGATTTTATAAAGAACTAGAAGGAAGGAGTTTGAAGTTTCCAACACAAAGAAATGAAAGATGTCTAAAAAGGTAGAAATGTTAATCAACCTGATTTGGTCATTACACTTTGCAAACTTGTATTGAATTATACCCCATATATGCAATTATTATGTGTTAATTTTTTAAAAAAGGTAAATTTGATTAAGTGCCCCATTGAAGGAAGTTCAATACTCCAAATCCATAAGTGCTGTGGGTCAACGGATTTCTAAATATCTCAGGCAGAGATAATGAAAGGACAATAAGATCTATTTCATTCTTGTTCACAGATTTGTCATCAGATATTAGAAAAAAATAATGCAAGGAAGATCAGTGGAGTACAATCAGGGGACCAAGAGGGAGGGAGGAGGAAGGAGAAGAACCGGGAAATGAAGGTGACCAAGCTATGTCATTTATGTGCCTGTATGACTATATCACAGTGCACTCCAATTTTATATCTAACTGTAATGCACCAATAAAAAATAAATAGAAGGAAGACCAATAGAGTAGATGAAAGTGAGCAGGGGGAGGAGAGAAAGTGGCCAATTGGGCCCCAATCATGGGATAAATAATAATAAGTAAGACTTAAATGAATCTATTCAGTGTCTAATCAAGTTCCAGGCTCTTTGTTGACTTGTGCATGATCTCAGTTTGTTGGAATAACTTTCAGTTTATAGCTAGCAGCTAGCAGCTCTGAGCAGCTTGGATGCTTGAAGAATCTATATTCCTTCAGGCCTGATAGGAACACCTGCAGGATGGGGTGCTCACTCTAGAGGGCCCTTAGTGAAACCTCATCCTTAGCACTTGTGGTTAGCGGTGCCAAGATGCCAGGCCAGGAAACTGATAGCCAGGAGCTTCACATGGAACTCCTAATTTAGATACCCCCTCCCCTAGGGACAAAGACCCTTCCTGATGATAGCAATATTTAGAACATCCTCATAATGTGGTTACATTAGGCTAAGATGATTGGCTCATGGATACTATCTTAAGATTGACCGGCACGTCCCACTCGAACCCTATAACAATTGTATGCATTCCAAAAATAAACTGAGCTACTGGACGACAGCCTGAGGTGGGTCTCCAGCCAGTTCTCTCACCAGCTCCCAGAGTCTGTGTGTTGATTCCGCGTCTCTACTCACCACGACAAGGTAGCCGAGCAACTAATTGACCAGAACCACAGCATCAGTTTATCATCCTCTTGACCACAACCCACACAGAGCCTGCCAAGAGCACCTGACACCATGGAAGTCCAGCACCACATAGGCTAACAATCACAGATTTAGAAAGAAAGAAATAAACCACTAGCCTAGAAATTGTCACCTCAGTCTCTGTCACCAGAGCTAGTGGGCAGTAGCCCTTTCAGCTGTGCACTCGTTATTCCAAATACATAATCATGTTGATTATTTCCAAAACTTTGAGCTTTAGGAGTCCTGCTTGGGCCTCCCAGCCACACCTGACACTCTGGCTGTATGTGGCAGTAATGCCATCCCAGGCTCCCCCATACACTTGGGACAGCCAGCTCGTCCACCCTTCTGGACACTTCTGGACCTCACCAGGAGTCTCTGCTAGGCTGTGCAACACACCATCATTATAAAACTTGCTTCTGTTACAAGAAGTTTGGGTCCTGGTATAGCTGGAGTATGAGTCATCATCTGCGGCTTTCTGGTGTCATTAGCAGCTGGCCTACATCTGCCTGTGTGATCAAGTCCCATCTCAAAAGAAGGCTTTCCCCTGAGATCCTTTATGGAATGAAGTAGGTGCATACGCGAATGAATAAGCAAATTGCTGTCTTTTCTTGCGTAGCCCTGCCTTCCTTCCCTGCAAACAAAATCTGCCCCTGTTCCAATCCAGAGCCTGGCCCTGGGAGGTGACTCGTGGATAGTCTGTATCTCCCTCGACATTTTCAGGGTGATTCTGTAACAGCAGTGCCCTCTCCCAGCTGGATATAGAGATTTTCTGTGTCTGGCCTCTTTGCAAAGGAATGAAATCAGATAATCCAGGGACTCTAGGAGTCAGCAGCTGAGAACCAGCATTTGAAAAGCCCCAGGGCTTGGGGGAGAGAGAATGGCTCACCAATCCCCACCTCAGCACTAATCCAGGATAAAAAGCTCCAACACCAGTCTTATTTCCTGGCTTTGCAAGAGCAGAGCTCCATGATGACAGGGTCACAGGGGACAGGACCCAAGAGGACAGGATACAGATCAGTAAATTCAGAGGACAAAAGCTCTTGCACTAAAGAGCTGAGACTCCTTGTGTCCTTGTGCACATGCTTTTGCACCTCCTAGTGCTTAGCCACAGAGGTGACCCTGCTCCTTTCATCTTGCCACTGGACGACAGCATCCCACACAAGAGGTGCACCTTCCCAGCCCCAAACCCAACCTAAACCACCTGCTGGACAGGCACTTCTCTGCTTGTGTTCATGCAGGGTGTTTGCTCCCTGGGCTTGATGTCCAGCATCCATCCCTGCTAGACTTCCTTCTGGTTAGGCACAGCGAGTGCCCCCATGTGTTTAAACGTCTGGGAATTCTTATCCCATGTCCCACAGACTGGGTGACCAAACATTCTGGCTTGCTCAGTAATCACCCCAGTATATGCCTGTTACCCCGGCATAATTATGAATAGCACCTTGTCTCACTCTCAAAAGTGACCTGAGTTAGAGGACAAATTACCTCATCCCTCTAGTTGTACTATCTCCCCGTTTCCCACAATGAGCAGACTACCTGTTTTATTATCAAGCTTCTGCATATGTGCATAATTATTTCCTAACTCTTCATTTAGGAATGAAATCCAAATATCATTGATCACCAATCCTTTAAAAGGGATTTCTTCAAGTTCCTCATTTTCTTTCTTGCCCAAGTCTTATACGCAATATCTCATTTAAAGTTTCCAGGCATGTTTATTTAAGATGAACTAGGAAATTCAACACTTCTGAAGAGATTTCAGTACAAAATCCTTCTAGGTCTTAATGATTTTTTTGTCAAATCTTTCATATTTGCCTTGTCCAGATCTCACTTGCTTTAAAAAAAATCAACTTTCTAAAATATCCAATTTGGTTTTGTAGAAAAAAAAATTTTTACATACTTATATTGCATCATTTATCATATTTAAATAGATTATATTATAAATTATAATGATAAGTCCAAAGGACATAAACCAGTTTGGGAAGAAATATGACAATTTTAATAAGTACATATTAAACTTGTGAGGGCTGGTGAGTACATAGCATACTCTAGTTCTTAAAATTGCTTCCTTCTAAACATTTCAGATATAAAAAATGTACAGAATTGTCCTATGAATCCTGGGAATTCTCACCACCACCAGCTTCAAAATTCATAAACTTTCTTCCATATTATTCATCTATCATCCTCCCTCTTTTTTAAAATAAAGCCAACCCTAAAAAATTATAATTTTACTCATAAATACTTCAAACTGTATTTTGAACGTAGATGTTTTCAGCCATTCACAATATTATGATGTGTAACAAAATTGATAATTTTTAAATATCAGCAGGTAGCCAGTCTGCATCCTATTTTCCCTGACTCAAAAATGTCTTTTGCAAGTTCCGTGTGTTCACATTAGGATCCAAGGTTGACATTGCTATGTTTCTGAATCTCAAAAGAGACTCAAATGTTCATCTTGTACATTTCCTACTCCAGACTTGAATTCTGTTATTTCTCAACGAGCCTTATTTTTAATCAGAAGTGGCATAAAACACTAAAAAATATTTTGTGTATGCCATTTAATTTTTGAATAATTCACATCATTTGTTCTATAGAATTAATTTCTCACATTATAGATTTGACTCACTCCTGGTGATATTGGTTGACCTGCCCTCTATTTATTACGTTCCCTATGGTAATAATTCACTAGTGATGATCTATACCACATATCAGGAGGCACACAGTACACATTTTCCAGCTTTATGTTATATGGGTTTATATGTTTGTATGGATTTGTGTGGTGGTGCTTGATCCATCTAATTTAAAGTTTATCCTCAACTTTTTTCTTAGTGATCTTAGAGTCGTTGTCTAGATCCATTATTTTAGTACTGATTGCAAAGGGTTGATGTTTTTTTCTCCCCAGTGCTGGTGATTGAACCCAGGGCCTCATGCATGTTAGACATTATTTTTCTAATTCTACATTCTTTCTGCATTTATTAGCTATGTTTCTGGTGTGAAGAACTCTCACCAATTATCCATTGGGTTTAGAAATAGAGGAATAAATAATTGATCCTTTCTTCTCATTTATTATTTTTAAAGAAATGAATTGATATCCTAGAAAGTTCCTAAGACAACTATGAGCCCAGTTATTGGGCAGGCTGAGGCAGGAGAATCCTAAGTTTGAGGCCAGCTTGGACAACTTAGTAAGACCGTATCCCCCAAATTAAAAAAGGGCTGAGGATGTAGCTCAGTGGTAGAGCACTTGCCTGGCATGCACAAGGCCTTGGGTTCAATCCCCAATACCACAAAAAGAAAAAGATGATCAATGAGGTTCATTGGTTTGTTTTTGGTATCATTACCAATTCAGAGACTTTAAACACACCTGATAATGCCTTTTCATCTGTTCTAATTATCCTTTTTGATTTTCAAAATTGTCCCATCCTTTGACAGTAAGAAACCTTTCGAGGTAGATCCTGAGTTCGTTTGACACAATCTTAGCATCTTTGAGAGCCTCCGAGCTTTTAGATATAACACAATATCCAATGTTCCTCTTGTACATTTCCTACTCCATACTTAGATTCTGTTATTTCTCCAAGTCAGAAGGGGCATTTAGATAGCACAATGTATATGTTAGGGGTTTTTATTGGGCAGGATTGTCATTACTTCTAGGCCTTTACAATAAACTAGGAAATATTGCTTTTTGGAAAAAGAAAAAATAATCTGGAGTTCATACTAATATCTGTGATTCAAATTACAGCAGTGTATTTGCCATTCCTCTCTCCCAACCTTTGTATTATTGCTATAATGCATTTTACTTTTAATTATGCTCTAAAACCACAATACACTATTCTTCTTTTTCCTGTAGACAGAGAATTTAAAAAGACAACTCCACAAATTTTATTTTTACCCTCTTCCCCCCAAGGCTCTTTATTTCTTTGTATGCATCTAACTTTCTGTTATCACATTCCTGCCTCCTGAAAATCACCCTTTAATATTTATTGTACTACTGGTCTCCTGTCAATGCAATGACTACTCTTGATTTATCTTAGAAATACTTATTTTGCTTTCATTTTTAAAGGTACTTTCACTCTGCATAGAACTCTGCATTGACAGGTACTGTGTCCCCCAAAGTTCAATACAATTCCCAATGCAATAGTTTGAGAGGTGGAACCTTAAGATGTGATTAGGTCATGAGGGCTCTCCTCTTATAAATGGATTAAAGCCATTTTTGCAGGAGGGGACTAGTTATTGAGGGAATGAGCTCCGGATAAAAGGATGCATTCAGCTCCCTAGACCCCTGTCTCTCTTTCATGTGTGTTTTCTTTCCCATCTTCCTTCCACCATGGGATGACATAGCAAGAAGATCCTCTCCAAATATGGGCTCCTGACCTTGAACTTTTGAACTTCAGATCTATAAGAAATAAATCTGTTTTTTATGAATTAACCAGTCTCAGGTATTTTATCATGGTAACATAAAACAGACTAAGACAAAATAGATTCTGAGTTTTTTATTTTTGTCTTTCAGCTTTTTAAAAGAAACCACTCCATTGTTTCCTGGATCACATCATTTCTGATGAGAATTCTGCTGTAAATTTTTAATCCATGTTCCACGGTGAGTAATATGTCTTTTTTCCCCTGTCTTTTCAGCAAATTTATTACAATGTGCCTAGGTTTTGTTGTTACTGTTATTTATTCTACTTGGTGTTTTCCAATCTTCTTTTATGGTTTTATGGGTGATGTTAATTTTGGAAAATTCTCAGCCATTGTTTCCTCAAATATTTCTAGCTCTCCCCCATCTTCTTCTCCATTTATGTCTATATTAGACTATTTGGTGTTGTTCTACAGTTCCTGAATGCTCTGTTCTATTTTCCTTATGTTTTCTTGTGTGTTGTTTTGGTAATTTGTTTTATCTACCTTTCCATCTCCAATCTTGTGAATTCCTTCCTTGGCTGTGGCAAGTGTACTGATGAGCCCATCAAAGAGATTCTCATCTTTGATACTGTGCTATCCATTTCTAGTCTCTTTGATTCTTTTTTAAAGTTATCATGATTTTATTGGAATTCTCTATCTGATCTTACAAGCATTCTGCCTTTTCCACTAGGGCTTTTATCATATTAATCATTGTTTTGTTTTGTTTGTTTAATTCCTGTCTTACCTGATGGTTCCAAGGTCTGTGCCATCTGGCTCTATTATGTGAATCTGGCTCTATTGGTTTCTTGGTTTCTTTGCCGCCGCCGCCTCCTCCTCCTCCTCCTCCTCCTCCTCCTCCTCCTCCTCCTCCTCCTCCTCCTTTCTTCTTCTCCTCCTCCTCCTTCTTCTTGTCATAAAACTCACAATTATCTGTTAAAAGCCAGATATTCTGTGTAAGGTAGTAGATATTTAGGCTTTTATGCCTAGAAATTTTTTTGCTGTGTTAGGCCTTTAGTTTGATTCTCGGTCATTCTAGATCATTTACATGGGATTGTTACTATGGTTACTCTCAGGGTCTCTTAGACTTGAACGTTTTCTTGAAAAAGTTTTTGTTAAAAGTGGTAGCTGATGGTCCAGAGTTTCTCCTCAATGTCTGCTGCATCCTCAGTTTTAGGTCTTGCCTTTGTGCTACCTTTGGAAGAAGGTCTCTCTCCATGTTCTCACTCCTCTCTTAGCAATAGTCAGTATACCACCAAATTCTTGTTTGCAATGGTTACAGGAGGCAGAAGGGCATTCACTGTTTTTCTGAGTAGGCCCCAGTATTGGGCAGGCACTGGGTCCTGGGGATGCAGCCTATTCAGTGGCCTTGGCCTTCTTTTGGCTATAGTTGTAAACATCCCTTCCCCAACTAAAGTTTTTGCTCCAAAGGAAGATACAAAAACATAATCCTGTCAGGTATCCAAGAACTTCCCTCAGCAGCTGCTGTCCCCTCCCCAGGCCTGGGACACTTTCTCAGGGCTCTCTACCAATCTTATGTGAGCACCCACTGGAGGTCATGGGGTAAATGTGAATTCTACCTAAATTTGCAAGCCTCGGGGACTCCTCCTCCCTCTCCAGCTCACACTCTGCCACCACCCATTTGCTGCCAATTTTAGGTGGGATCTTCTCCACATCTGTCTGTGTCTGCACCACCTAGATAGGTACAGTCATGTTGTCACTCCATTCAGAGTCCCTCTCCCCTTAGATTTTGGGCTGGCTGCTTTTCCTGAGACCTCAACTCTCTCATGGTTCCAAGAAAAATCATAAACTTGCTTATATGGGTTTTCTCTTGTTGTTGTTGTTGTTAAAAGGATGGAAGTGAAATTCTTCTCATCTCTCCACATCCTGAACAGAAATTGACGGTTTATCCAGTTCAAACTCAGTATAATAGGTTTTATGCTTAAATTCCTAATTTACATGTGTGTTTTTCTTACACTGAAAATCTTGGCTCCATGTGAGATTAACAAAATTAGTTTACCTCTGCCACAATTTTGCATAACCTAGATAAAAGATGAGAAGAAAGAGTCCTTATCATTTGAAATTTGAGGGCTGTATTGAAAAAAATCATTCCCCACTTCCTCCATTATCATCAATTAGCTTTAGCTATGTATTTTTACCTTTCACATGTAGTCCTTGATTGTTTTGGCATTTTTATATTATTTTTATTTTTCATATAGTATGAGGCTACTTTATATGGTGAACTAAAATTTTTCCCAATGCCATCTATCTAAATAATATAAATAAATTGTGTATAAAATTGTTTTTAAAAAGTTACTAGCTTTATGTTACTATGTATAATGATTTCAAAATCTAAAATCCTTATAATGTTTGTATTCTCCTGTTGATGTATCATTACTCATTATTTTTTAATTTATTCATTACATGAATTCATAAATTTTAAAAATAATTTCAAAATAACACCACCAATATTAGTCCATTGAATGCAATGTAAGATTTGTGTGTGTGTTTCCTTGGCATGTCTTTTAAAGTCTCTTGAAATTCTTTTCTTTGTGATTATGCTATTGACTTGGTAATCATTTAGGTTCATATGCACCAGTTGGTTTTCAACTTTTAATGATTGTTTTTTCTCTTTTGATTTAATGCTTTAAAAGCTTATAACAATATGCATAGTTTCAAATCCAAAACTGTGAGTAACATTCAAGACAGAACTTATTTCCATTCCAGCCTTTTTCATCTTGTTTACTCCATTCTTTCTCTAGTATTTTGTTTATTCTTTCATCACTTCTTTTTGGCAAGATAAGCAAGCATGAGTTTATATCCATATTTACCCACTTAAAAAAAAGGGAAGGAGCATACAACATACCTATAGAAATTGCTTTCTTCACTTCATGTAGCCAGAGGTTCACTCCCAACAGAGAGAGCCTCCTTTTCCTTCTTAGTAGCTGCATAGTTCTCCATTATACATCTGTACTATAGAAACACACATCATCCCCCTTGCTGATGGATCTTTGGGTTGTTTGCAGCCCCCTGCTACAACAATTAGCAATACAGTGGAGAGTCTTGTGCATATGTCATTCTGAACCTTGCCAGTAAGACCATAGTTTGGTGTGGATCTGCTTATAAGTGCCCAGCTTATTGTGGGTTGTTTTAAAGAGAGAACTATAAGTAAGCATCAAGTGATCTGGCAAGTTAGTTTAAAAGGGGTTCATAATAACCCTTTAATAACAGAGCTTTGATTAACTTTTATAAAGTTCACTTTGAAATGTCCCCAAATGGATTTTGTGATGATTTTCTCCATATCAAGGGTCAGCCAGAAGTCAGGGTCAGGGCTGTCCAAGTCCTGGCTTGATTTTAACCATTTTTCCTGCCTTCCCCCAGCTTCCCTGGAGCTTTCTGACCAGCATAGTTGGTGACCCTTCCAGCTGCATTGATAGAGGTCCAGGATTCAGGGCTCAGGTGAACATCACAGGAAAATCTACTTTACAAAGAGGGGGTGACATGAAATGGGACTTCAGTCATCATCCTCCCTGGGTGAGACCCCAAATAGTCTTCCCTCCTTGACTCAGAACATGAGACAAAAGGGGACTGCTGCTCTCCCAGTCTTAACATTTCTGTAGCACAGAACTTTGAACTTCTTTGGAGAGGCTGAATGGGATGCAGTCTGCTTCCTGATATAACATGGCTGCGCCTGAGGTTTGCAGGCTCCCTCTCCATCCTGAAGCAGCCCCAAGGAGAAAGAATATTCTGTAAGAGCATCTGTATCGCATTGCTGTCTCCACTTAGTCACCTTTCACATGCCACCTTCTGTGACCTTAGGTTACCTTTTTCCAGGCCCCGCCTGTGCCACCCATACACCCCGCCTAGATCTTGGGTTACTTCCCCCAGATGAAATCTGCTTTTTTCCAAATCAAACTCTATCGTCTTTCTCATTTCAATTTCTGAACCCCAGAAGGCAGTTTCTGAAATCATTCTGCTTTTTTTTTTTTGTCAGCCTGCCATCCCTCCTGGCTTCACCTGCCCTCTGGGTACCTACGTTGCCCCTTGTCTAATCTGTCCATTTTCTTCCGGGTTCTATCAGTATTTGTCCACAAGAGATCGGAATTCTACAAAATGAACTTCCTGTTATAAACAATAACACTCTGTCAAAGGGAAGTGTAGGGGGACATTCTAAACCCGCCAGTTCCCCCACCCTGGGTCAGCTCATGTGTCACCTCCCCTCTGAAGTTTTCATTGATTGAAACAGACAGACCCGCACACTTTTCTATGCTCATGTTCTGCTTTGTGTGAACAGGTACACAGCGGTCACACATTGTGTTAGACCCTCCATAGTCCTACCCTAGACTAGTGATCCCGAACCTCTTCTTTGAGATGGCTTTGGCAAATGACACTCACAATTACAACACAACTCCTTTTAATAGATGCTCCCCACCAGCTGCTACATACCTGTGTCAGGTTGTAGGATACTGGAAACTCCCAACATTATGGTTGACATTCTACCAGCTTCTTTTCCAGGAAACTTAACACACCTGTGTAACGCAGGCAGCAGTGCTTAGAGTGACTGCTTCACACTATGGGCCACATTCAGGCAAACATGACTATGAACATCACATGCCTACTTCTATGCTCAACATGCTGTAAAACTATTTATGGAGTGAATGAATGTACACTCCTATATACAATACCTAATTTTATGGTTTGGGTATGAGGTTCCCCCCCCCCAAATCTCCTGTGTTAACCCAGGAATGTTCAGAGGTAAATGGTAAATCTAACCAGTCTATCCTAGTTTGAATGGACTGACTAGGTTGCAGGTAACTGTAGGCAGGTGGGATGTGGCTGGAAGAGGCCAGTCACTGGGTCTTGTCCTGGAAGTGTGCCTTCCTTGTGGCTTCTTCCTTCTCCTTCTCCTCCCCCTTCTCCCTCTCTCCCTATCCTTCTCCTTCTCCTTCTTTCTGTAAGGGGAGCACTCTCCTCCACTGGGCCCTTCCACCATGATGCGCTGCCTCACCTTGGGGCCATAGGGTTAGGGTTCACTATCTGTGGACTGAGATCTCTGAAACCATCAGCCCCAAATAAACTTTCCCTCCTCTAAGTTGTTCTTTTTTTTTTTTTTTAAAGAGAGAGAGGTAGAGAGAGAGAGAGAATTTTACTATTTATTTTTTAGTTATCGGCGGGCACAACATCTTTGTATGTGGTGCTGAGGATCGAACCTGGGCCGTACGCATGCCAGGCAAGTGTGCTACCACTTGATCCACATCCCCAGCCCCTCTAAGTTGTTCTTGTTGGGTATTTTGGTCACAGCAATGCAAAAGATGACTAAAACACCTAATATTTATATTTTACCATCAATCAGGGTGCTTCTAATTTACACTTTTGGATTTAACTTGAACATTTTAAGAACTCTATACAGATGCTACTCAGTTTACAATGAGTTACATCCTGATAAGTCCACTTTAAGTTGAAAATATGAGTTCAGACTACTGAACATCATAACTTCACCTAGCCTAACTTAAATATGTTCAGAACATTTGCATTAGCCTATGATTGGACCACTTCATCTAACACAAAACCTATTTTATAATAAAGTGTTGAACATCTAATGTAATTTATTAAATACTGTACTGAAAATGAGAAACAAATTGCTCACTTTTACACCAACATAAAGTAAAAAAAGTCATAAATTGAATCACAAATTCTGAGGTTTATGCTATGGAGTACTGATAATACTCTTCTGGGTCAATTATACCTATAAATCTGAACGTTGATGTTGGTTATATAATTTCCAGGATCAAATGTGAAATGGATCTTGATTGGGAAGATGTTTTTTTTTTCCATTGAATCATTCAATCTGGGTGAAATTAAATGCATAACAATTCAAATTTATCCCCAAGGAATATAATATAATCAAAATAAGCTTTTAGGATAAACCATAAGAGGCCCAACTCCTGCATCCTCCTTGCCTTCTGCCACTCTTGAGATGGATATTGAGGACCAAGTCAAAAGTAATATATATCTTATACTTTGTGTACAACCAGAGATATGAAAAATTGTGCTCTATATGTGTAATAATAAATGCAATGTATTCTGATGTCATATATAAATTTTTAAAAAGTAATATTTACCTTATCTCTTTGACATAATTGCACTTAAGAGAATAGTTGAATGAGGGTTTATGAAAAAATAAGGGGATAGATATGAATAACAATCTATGGTAGATATGGTAACAAACTGTAGAATGAAAGCATAGTCACTGAAATTTAAATGCATATGCACAAATACCCATCTACAAATTTTTGTTTTGATTAGCAAAATGTTCAACTTGACAGGGCTAAAGAAAAAATCAGTGATGTAGACAACAGAGCTGAGAAAATCAACACTAAAAGGAAAAAAAGTTTTAAAAAACTGTAAAATAATTAAACATTTCTATTATAATTAAACCTTAAAATAGTTTGGGGAGTACAGCTGCCCATCTTTAGTAACAGAGATACAGGCTCACAGGTGCTACCTGATAGTTGTTAGACAATTTTTCTCCCAGCTTTATAATCCATCCATTACTTCTTTTGCAGTTACATGGTAACTCCTTTTCTTAAATGTCATCGAAATGATCCTTTGACTATAACAAAACACTGTGGAAAAAGTTGCTCACATTTATCAAATTTTAAAAGCATAACTAATAGAGTTGAATTAGTACCTTTAAACAGAGTACAATATCTTTTCATACAATAAGTGAAACGTTTGAACCCAAAGACAGAAGGGAAGGAGTGGTCAATAAGTGGTGATGGAAAACTTCACATTTGGGAAAAGTTCAAGTTGGTTTTCAGTTCCTACTGTTATCAAAATTAATTGCTAGTAGATTTTAAAAATAAGTTTTTAACAATAAAAGCATTTAAAGTCAGGGAAGGAGGTGAGTTAAGTATGCAATTTACCTTGAGGTTTGGAAGGAATTTCTAAAGTGAAAATAATGGAAGAAATAACAAAGACAAAATTGGCATATTTGACTAAATAAAACTCAATAGCTACTGTCCATCAGAAAATGTCAGATAAGGGCTGGGTTATGGCACAGTGGTAGAGCACATGGCTAGCCTGTGTAAGGCATTGGCACTGGGCTCAATTATCAGCACAGCATACAAATAAACAAAATAAAGGTCCATCAACAACTAAAAAAAATACTTTAAAAAGAAAACAACTTGGAGAAAATATTTTAACATATATGGCAGATAATGGGCTGATATCCTTAAATAAAAAGAATCTTTATAAATAAATAACAAAAAGATAACACAACCAAAAGAAAAACGTATAAAGATATGAATGGACAATTCACTAAACAAGAAGGATGCCAAAAGAAAATGGGCCACTTTTCACTCAATAATCAAAGCCTCTTAAAATAATGCCATTTATCCATCAAATTGTCTGACTTTTAAAATTAATGATAATACTTGGTGCTGATAAAATACAGTAAGAAGCGTTTTCTAATCCACTGTTGATGAAAATGCAGAATGCATCTGGAAAGGAGTATTATGAGAGGGGAAAAAGAAATAACTGTTTTTCCTCACTCTCCTCTCACTCAGCAATCAATGCAGAAGGCTTCTATGACCAAACACGTGGAGGTGTCCCCATGCATAAGAAAGCAAGCAATTCTGTGACTGCGGGGTGTCCTCTGATTCCATTCACTTCTGACTCTATCTGCCTGGAGATAGGTCAGATCTTACAGGTTGAGCTCAGTCCCCCAAGACTGCACCCAGACATACACGCTTCAGATGCCCCAGATTGTTCTACCTGTGCTTCTGACCTACAGGTTATAAATGGGGGTTCCCACAACCCCTACTGAGGTTCGATTAAGTTAGAGAGGCTCACAGAACTCAGGGAAACGTGTTTGCTGTTTATTAGAAAGGACATTACAACAGAGATAGACACCAGATAGAGACAGCTGGGACAAGGTATACAGGAGAGGACAAGTAGCTTCCATGTCTTCTAGAAAGCACCAGAATCCAGAAACTTGCATGTGTTCTGCTATCCTGAAGCCTTCTGAACCCAGACTTAGTGTTTTTATGGAAGCTTTATTATATAGGCACAGTTGATTAACTCATTGGACCTTCATGATCAATTCACCCTTCAGCCCCTCTCTACTCCTCAGAGCTTGAGCCGAAAGTCCCAGCTCTCTCCTCCTGCCTTGTGACCAGCCCAATCCTGAAGCTTCCTAGGGACCTCCAGCCATCAGTCCACTCATTAGCACACAGAGACACTGCTTTGTAGACTCCAAGGAGTTTAGAAGATGAATTTCGGGAAACAGAGCAAGACCAAATATATGTTTCACAATATCACATATATGTAGAAGAATCTTCAGAAAATTAATGACCTTTTAATCCTCAACCCATTAATCACACTTCGAGGGATTTATAAAAAATGTCTTATGGATCATAGAGTAAGAAGTATTTATTTATAATGTTTGATAATTGTCTAAAATAGTTATTAAAAATTTTTTGTCTTCACAACTTTTGTTTACAAAAAGTAAAGATGGTCAAAAGCCTACAATA